CATCCTCTGGGACAGAGTGAAGTTTAAGGAGGCCAAAATTAAAAACATGTGGAAAATTGATAACATTTTTAACAAAATAACTGATGGATGCACTTTAAAGGTCACCTATCATGCTATTTTTAGGCAATAGCATAGGTCTAAGATATATAAAAAACATGTCTATGAAGTGTTTTGCTCAAAATACCAAGCAGATCACCCATTCTAGCCATGCCTCATATCCCTATTTCACTTACCGTTTCAAAATTGCTGATTTTATGTATACAGCTTTAAAAAAATAAAAGAAATTTGTAAAAAAACAAACACAAGGGGGGTGAGCTCATGCGGTACCCGGCAGCTACTGTCTTAACTAAATACTGCTGTGATGAAACGCCACATCATGGATTATTCCTGAAACAGTATGGAGCTCAAAGGCTTTCTCTCTTGCCGGTTATGCCACAAGGTGAGTTCCTTTTTATTTCCTGCTTCTTCACACACGGAAGGTTTCTCATTTCTCTCATTTCCCCTCCTCGACTCCTCGAAACAGAGAATCAGCACTTTTGAAACAGGGCTGAAACAGAGGGGATTATGGGATGCTGCAATGATCTGTTTGGTGTTTGGAGTCAAACCCTTCAGAGACATGTTCTGTATATATCTGAGATCTGTAATATATTGATGAAAAACAGTATAATAGGGGATATTTAAAACATAAGGACTTGACAGATTTAAGTAAACTTTAGAATGCACTACCAAGGAATATGAAACAGCAGGGTAACATTTCAAATTTGAGATGTTTTATTAGAAAAGACAGCAACTATTATCTTGGCCCTCACTTTCCACTCCATTATATAATCCCGCCCACACACAAAAAGAAAACAAATCGTCCCCTAATTCAGTTCCACACGCTGCGTCCTGCTGGCCTCACCGCTCTCTTCAAGAGTTGAGCCAAATTGAACATTATCAGGCAAGCCAGTAGCAGATGGTACACTGCACAGAGCACTTTGTGGCAGAAACAACACTTCATAACGCAGGCATGACAGGGCCAGGCTCATCCTGCATTCCAGTATCTGTCTGAAGTAAACCCAGGCCTCATCTTCAATTGTTCCATTTCAAAATCAGATGATTGTGTTGCTAGTTTAGCCAGCAGATCTTTCAGACATGGTTTCAGTCAGAACGCTGAGTAAGGACGCAAATATAAAAAATAATAATTGGTGTTCTCACAAATCAAGGCTTTACATTCTTATTAAATGAGAAAAGAAAACCTAAGGTTGACCTCATCCACAGATTTGATTTATTTATTTTCTGTCCTTCCCCCTTATCACTGCTTCTCTACAATAATGTCCATCGGCAGTTTAAAAATGTCAGATATGAACAAAACAAGCCCCAACGTAGCAAGCCTCGTGTTGTTGAAGAAATAAGGACAAATAGGATCATAATTCCAGATCTCGAACATGACAGTAATGAATTATTATCACAGATGTGCATTGGTTTGGAACTCTTGAGTGACCCCAGGACAACTGAGGAGTGACACGTTTCTGACAGAACAAGGCTCATGTATTTAAAGTGTTTTATACAGTAACTTCCCACCTCCAGGTTGCTATGAGCGCACTTTTAAAAACAAGATGGCTATAACTGATGTAGAGCACAATATTACATTATGTAGACTGCGTAGGGCTGTCCTCCACTCAACTGGTACAAACATGAAATTATCAGAGCCATGGACAGGCTTCTTCAGAGGATGGAGCAGAACCACATGGAACCTACAAAACAGAACCTTCACTACCTCAGAATGTAAATCAACAGCTGTGTAAAAATTAACACACTTTGATTTTGACAATTAAATTACAGACAGACATGGAGGAGCCTACATTGACATTTATCATTTCGCTAGAGGATTTTACTGCCAAAACACAGTAGAATAATATATTATAGTGAGAATGACTTCAGCTCGTCACTCAAGGGTCCACCGTTGTCATGGAAACACTGACACACAAGTGAAAGATCTACTGCTGTCCCTCCTTCTTCTCGCCCTCTGAAGAGCCCGAGCTGCTACCGCTGCTGCCGTCGCTGCTGCTGCCGCCGCCGCTACCGTCGCGTTCTGCTGCCATCTGGGGGGGGCGACACTGTCACTCAAACTGCCAACACTTCATTTACAACTGATAATATAATCGTTCCCGCCAATAAGGTCAGTGAGAACCATGGCATTTGTTACTCAAATAAAGACAGTGTTTACTCTGTACTATTCCAAATATCTATTACCAGTAATTGCTAGTATATACCAAACTATTTTTTCAGTCATATACGCTCTGCTGCACATGGAAAAATATCAAATATATTTTTGGTTAACAGCAACTGAATTGAAGTCTCATAAATGTGTGAATTGTGAATTAAAATCTAAAATCAAATAAAAAGGCAAATACTATATAAAAAATAAGCATCCAAAATGTTTTGAAACAATAAAATGTGAAATCAATAACTGATATGAAACAGTAATCAACATGACCAAAATAGGTACCAACACCCAGGTAAGTGTTACATTGTGAGCTGCTTTTCTTTGTCTGGCGATAGTACAACAGGTCTAGATTAAAAGCCCCCTAAAAAAATCGATCTTCAATAAGAGATATACCATTTGTTAGTTACTGCCCTCATTAGTAGTCACATTTAACAGTTTGAATTGAGTAGCAATTCAATATAAATTTTCCCAAAAGGTATGAAAATATAATGGTTTTTTTCCACAGGAATGAAATGACAGTTCTGCGCTGGGATATGTTTAGCACACATGTTCCTACCTTTTTATAAGCCATCTCAAAGAGTTTGAGTGAGGCCTGCTGCAGGGTGGTGGCCGCCTGCTTGATGTTCTCTCCCGTTTCTGAGTCCTTGTTGGCCAGAAGGTCCTTGACCTTGGTGATTTCCTCCTTCAGCTTGGTGCACTGAGGACGGACGGAGAGGAAACAGGAATGAATAAAGATGGCTCGTGCGAAAAATACATGAGGGGTACATTTCATTTAGCTGACGCTTTTATCCAAAGCGACTTACAATAAGTGCATTCGACCAAGAAGATAAGAACTTGAAGAAAACAGAATCATATAAGTACATCACGTTTCATAGAGCTAAACCATTTCAAGTGCTACTCAACTGGCTTTAGATAAGCCAGTCCTTTATTAGTATACAGGACTGTCTCAGAAAATTAGAATATTGTGATAAAGTTCTGTATTTTCTGTAATGCAATTAAAAAAACAAAAATGTCATACATTCTGGATTCATTACAAATCAACTGAAATATTGCAAGCCTTTTATTATTTTAATATTGCTGATTATGGCATACAGCTTAAGAAAACTCAAATATCCTATCTCAAAAAATTAGAATAGTTCCTCAGACCAAGTAAAAAAAAAAGATTTATAACAGCAAAACACAATCAAACATTTAGAAAATGTCCATTAATGCACTCAGTACTTGGTTGGGAATCCTTTTGCACGGATTACTGCATCAATGCGGCGTGGCATGGAGGCAGTCAGCC